GGACATGGATCTTGGGGAGCAGAGGTTGAATGCTATGGTCTGAATGTTTGTGTCACCCCAAAATTCATGTTAAAATCCTAACCCCCATTGCGGTGGTATTAGGAGGTGTGGCCTTTGGGAGGTGCTTGGGTCATGAGGGTGCAGCCTTCAGGAATGAGATCAGTGCCCTTATAGGAGACCGCGGGGAGCTCCCTGGCCCTTCCGCCATGTGAGGACACAGTGAGAAGACCACTGTCTATGAACCAGGAATCAGACTATTACCAGACACCAAATATGCAGGCACCTTGATCTTCAACTTCCCAGTCTCCAGAACTGTGAGAAATAAATGACTATTGTTTTTTAAGTCACCCAGTTTATGGTATTTTGTTATAGCAGCCTGAGTGGACTAAGAACCTCAGTTTTTTCCATTCTTTATATACCATTATAAGACAGACGTGATCTTCAGGTATTTGTCCAGAATTTATCTGTGCCAACCACTCCCCTCCTCCCCAATAGTGACTGTGCCGAGATAGGGAAACATATGTGATGTCGGCTGCCACCAGCTATGAGATGACCTACAGAGGGGAGAGCCCTTTATATAGTTAAACCAGAGCCCCAGGAGACTCCCTCCTCCAAACAGCTCACCTTTATTTCCCATCAACAGAGATTCATTTTGGATGCCACACCCTTTTTGGGGGTAAGGGGGCACACGTAAAAATGTCCCCACGGAGGATCAAATCCACTGATCATTTATGCCTGCAGGCCAGTTGCTTTGAACAGATCAATGCCAACGTGAGATAGTTTCTGCGAAGGCAGATGGTACTTTGGGGATGGAAAAGCCCAGGCCTTGTGCTGACGAACTGTGGGATCCTTGGCAAGTCTCAACTTGTCAGTACCTTAGTTTCTTCATCCGTAAGATAGAATCCACACTGTCCCAACTACCCCACAAACTGCTACGAAGATCAAGTGAAATAATATGTGCAAAAGGGCTTCGTCAACTCTTGGGTACTTACCAAGGACACCTGCTAACCTTCAGGGGTCCTTGCTCTCCTGAGTCTCATCGCTGCCAACTCTTCATGTTTATCATGGGTGCTTCACGATTCGTTTACTTCTGGGCCTCTCTACACATTATCCCCTGAATGTCCAAATGTATACATTTTGCAAATCAACTCATTCATTTCAAGTGCCAGATTTTATTCTGGGCTATGTTTCTTCAGAACGAAACATGCAATCAGGAAATCCAAGCACATTTTAATAGTAGCCTTCAGGAAAGCATAATTAGGGAGGTAAATCCTTTGTTTAAAAGAAAGTCATGTCACCTCCACAGCTGACCAGAACTGATTTTGAAATTAACTATGCTGCAGAGTGGTGGTGTTCCACCACTTGTCTGAATTAGTACAAATCATTGAATTCTTTGTGTTTAAGACTGATGCACATATATGATCTGAAATGGTCTTTTGTCATACATGAATGCTCTTTGATATGTGTACCAAGGAAAGCTTTCCTGCAGAACCTTGTCCCTCTTGGGAAGAGCCACCCTGTCTCCATTGCTATGATGTCCTAAATTTCCTTGCACTTAGCGAGAATACTCTTACAGCAAGATCTCACATTTAGCCATGGGAAGGTGAAATAAGGACTGAATTTAAGATTGGTCATTATCTTGGGAAGACTTGGGAAGATAAATTTGAATCTGTCTTTGAATTTCAACTACACCAGCAGGTTCTGAATAAACAGCCAGATTCTCATTAAACTCCACAGTAAACTCTAGGCATAAATGAAACTTGTTGAGAATTTATTCTCTAAGGAAGCCCGGCCACATAATTTTGTAAACACCCCTTTTCTATAAAATGTAAAATGCAAAGAGCAGTCAGAACGTGTATTGAATATGCACTTGGCAATGTTTTATACGGTTGCTGCAGGAAGTCACTGACTTTTCTTTTGATCATTGTATATTTAGTAAGAATGAAACAAAAACCAAATCAATGGTTTAAGCTACATGTAAGGCTTAAGGTGCTGGGCCCAGTGATGGAGTCTGAATGGGAGGTCCCTGATTTCTGTCTCAGTGCTCCAAACCATGGTGCTCGTGACACTTGGGATCCGATACTTCTTTGTGGTGGTGGCTGTCCTGCACATTGTGGGATGTTTAGAAGCACCCCTGGCCTCTACTCAATAGATGCCAGTAGGACCACCCCCACACAGAGTGTGAAACAAAACTGTCTCCAGATATTGCTAAATGTCCCCAGGGGGCTAAGACCCCCTGGTTGAGAACCACTGCTCTAGATGTATTGAGATTTATTGGTGAGAGAAGTTTTACTGGGAAAACAATGAGGTCAGACACAGTAAAAGCACATGGTTAGGCATAATATTTTATTAAGTGGCCTTAGAATGTCAGCCTTTGTCTCCTTCCTTAGAAGATCCTATTTGCTTGTAATAAAATGGCAATACGCTGAGTCCAAGTAAGAAAAGCCGCTTAGTTCTTAACTATCAAAAGCAAATTTTCCCACTAAATGTAGTTTGATATACAGATCACCAGCCCATATAAAGGGAGAGAGGCTATGACAGAACAAATACATTGATTTGGAGGAGTGACAGGTATTTTCCAGTTCATTGCACTCTTCATATCATTTAGGAGGATTCTTACTGTTATTATCTGTAGCAAAGTAATTGGATAGCATTTTTCATCCAAACACCTCAAAAGAGTTCTAAACATTAACTTGTGAACTTCACATTATACTTTGACACAGGGGGAAAAAAAGCCACATAATTCTGCTGTAAGGGTAGTGATTTTTTCCCCCCCGCAGGGCACATATGTCTGTGCAGCATAGTGAAATAAATCGTTGTATTTATAGAGCCTCTTTGGTTCTTTAAAGACCTCTAAGTACTGTAATTTCCTGATATGTGCACTATCCACAAATTGTTCCAGTTATTGCTACGGTGCAATGTCGCAGTTTGCCGAATAACTTCATTAAATAGCTGCATTGTGCTTGCAAAACATACCTAGAGTCTGTAATTGTGTTTTTTAAAGGAGTAGCCAATTGATGATAGGGCCAAATTTAGTTCCAGTGCACTCAGACACCATAACTGTAAACAGCCTTTGTCTGAAAAAAACCCAACTGCTGACGTCACCGCTCCCCGAGGGCTGGGAAGGTTGGGCCTGAATGTGCTTGGTTCCCCCCTGTCTGCCCACCGATTTAAGTGATCTTCCACGGATCACCCGAGATCAGGTGATGCTCACTCCTGCTTTGCCTGTTGTGGAACGGGCATGGTTAACGTAACGGCATACTCTTCTGTCATGCTGCGCATTGACCTCTGAGATTTTGAGATGAATGCCTTGCTAGTGGCATGTCTGTTTGACTTTTCTTCTGAAGACTCTTGTGCAAGGGTGTCATTGTGCCTTGGTTTAATGCCGCACTGTCGACATCTTGCAATTCTTAATACCTGTGTTTTCATTTCATTCTGGGCCCACAAATTATGTACCTGGTTCTGGTACTTAGCACCAGCCTGGCACAACAGGCACATGTAACACCTGTCACTTCCTTGCTTCTTTCCTGCTGGAGTCCCCCTGTTGTGCCCTTACACCAATGAATTTGCCACTACCCAAATCTGACGCCCCAGATGCTTCTGGGCCACCCGTCAGGAGCCCGTTACTGTGGGAGCTGTTACAGTCAGGACCTCTCCCATGCACCCAACATGCCACCCACAACATGGAGGAGTCCTTGTTTCTCCCACTGTTGAGAGTGGGGGGAAGCACAGGAGGTCCTCACTCCTACCTCGGGGAAGGGAGAGCCGCCAGCAGGGATGTGTTGGGTATCAGCTCCGTGAAGGAGATGCAGACCCCTCCCTGCAGCGGGCTTTTTGGCCGTGAGGAGCCAGGAGACGTGGTAGAGGAGGAAGCACCGCGTGAGAAAGCTGTGCCAAGTCCCAGGGACATGGCGCAGAAATAAATGGGTTCCAGCTGTGTCCAGTGGCAACCTGAGAGGATTTTTCCTGTAGAAATCATGTTATGCTGGTGACTGGCTCTATCATTTAGTCACAATTCATAACAAATTGGCCTTTGAGAGCTGACCTCAGAAATCATATCTATGAAATAGCTTCTTTGGGGAAGATGCCCTCTTAGTTTTAAATAATTCTAAATGGATGATTTACAAATCAGTTTTTGGGCCACAGTCCATTTCTGAATAATATATGCCAAAAAAAGGAAATCTCATGCAATCTTTGACAACAACCAACCATGGAGTCTTTGCTTCTCGGTTGAAAGAGTATAGCTTAAACATTCAGTATCTAATGCTGTCTCTTTCCAAATAAAGACTAGGGATTTGGAAACTCCACTGCAGAACAAAACATGGGCATGTCAGAAAAGCTCCCGGACCCCGACTTCTTCTGTTGGAAGAAATGGTCATATTTTAAACAGCAATCTTTTTTGACTTTTTAAATGGAAGATGAAGTATAATTGGTGTCTCTCCCTGCCACTGTCTCGTTGTATATCCAGACCATGTCGCTAGCACATAAAATGTGTTGCTCCCTTGGTGACATCCTGGTGACATAAATTCGAACATCCCTGAGCTGCAGGCTAATCTCCTCTGTAATAACCAGAGGAGTTTGTTCCTCGGGAAAATACGAGCACAACTTTAAAACCATTTTTGCAGTGTATGATAGAACATTGTAAATAATTTATTTGCACCCTGTACATACTCCAGAATGTAGACTTACCTGGGCTTTAATTTCATAACACCTTGGTTGTCTATGATTGAAATGCCGATTTCACTCAGGTGAAGTCCACTGAGTCAGAGAACATTGCGTTGTACACATCTCTCTAGGGTCTTTTCAGATATTGAAATGTTATCTTCTGTTTAAGTGTGTCCCATAGTGCACTTGAAATATATGGAACTTACTTAATTTTTCAGAGTAGATTTTTTAATTTTTTTAAAAAATTTAAAATTTTACAGTAAATACTGTATCAAATCTGTCGTGCGAGCGTTAATGCCCATGCTCCTGACTGTGTCTTTCTCTTATCTGTCTAGGTTCTCTTAGCCAGCAGCTTCGTGCCTATTTACGCGGGACTGAATCCAGTGGAATACAGAGGGCAGGTAATGTGGCTCTCACTGAAGAATTACCAGGAGTTCCCGGTTCAATATGTTTCCTTTGAAAGAGCCGATTTTATAATTATTCTGGTGGCTCCTAATCAGTTTATGTAATTTTCTTTTCATATGTAGTTTTGTTTCTGCTCAACAGAAAAAAAATCAAGTATGGGGCCGTGGTACCTTATTGGCAAGGTCTTGCAGTTGACAATGATTGACTGGGAGGCTCCTTTTTTCATCCCGTCTAAACCCTTTACTTTTTTAAAAAAAAGAGTAAAAGACTTTTTTTTTCCTGATAAAGTCCTATTCACAGCCCCTCCATAAACAGCTAGAAACGGAACCGCACTGTCAGAGTGGGAGAAGGAAAGGATCAGGGTGCCTCACACCTACCCTCCCAAACAGAGCCCGAGACTTCATCCCATCCTATGTCAGACACCCTGCTGCGCCACAAGCCCCCTCCCAGGTCCTCCTCTCACCAGGATGTTTGTCAAGGAGGAGGGGAAACAGCCTTCATTCCAGGAGAGCTTCCCTCACTTGGGGCTGGCCCTCCAGGCCGGAAGCCAGCTTTTTCCCCCCCGAGACGTTTAGAGGCGAGCGTCCACCTGCAGTCTGCTCTCAGTGCTGCCCAAGGACATTTCAGCCAGCTCCCGTCTGCCTTCTCACCATGTTTGTACGAAATGTTCACCACCTACTCTAGCCACTCCCCCACACCTGCACGCACTTTAATACATACCAGAGATGTGCATTTTATAATCAGATACAGTATCTAACACATGCCTGCTTTCTATGATCAAATACAATCTCTATTTAACACATACCAGAGATGTGCATTTTATAATCAAATATACTATCTAACACATGCCCGAGATATGCTTTGTATGATCAAATACAATCTCTATTTAATACATATCAGAGATGTGCATGTTATAATCAAATACAGTCTCTGTTTAGCACATACCCAAGATCAGACACATATTCATGGATGAATAAATGCCATTTGTTGTTTATATATATAATATGTATTTATTCATAAATGAGTACATGAGAAGGGTTTCATATCTGTCATTCATGCATTCATTCACTTTGAGGGTCCAGCACTGTGCCTGTGCTCAAAGACTCGATGGTCTCACAAGCAAGGAATTGGTTTTTGCATCCCTCACCTAATATGATGGGGGACCTGTCTGGGTTCTGATCTTGTCAGTCCTTGCGATTTTCTTTCTTTGAGCTTTCCTGGTCTTTCCAGTCTTCTGTGTTTCCCGTGTGATTCTGGGCCCAAACTGGTCTGCCCCAGGATGATGTCTAAAAGGACAGTTGAGGAGGGTGAGGTAAAGAGAGGGTAAGCAACTGGCGCGGCCGTGTAGACGACGGAGATGGAAAGTCTGCGAGTGACTGTTATGTCCAGTCTGAACTCTGTCTGTTAGCCATATGTATACAATATATTGTTCACAGTGATGTGCTCACGTACAGTAGGCTAAAACCCTCTTTGTGACCAGATAGAAAGAAAATATACATTGGTTTTTTTTTAAGAGCAACATAAAATAATTTAAACATCAGCCCCTGGAAAGCAGGGTTTTTTCTTATTTTTGATACTGTCTCTCAGAGCTAACAGATCTTTAGTTCCCAAGGATCATGATCTATGTTGTCATTTAAAAATTTATTTGAGAGGCATTGCATTTTACATAATTATTGTAAAGTAAGTAGCATTTTCCCTCTTACTGTATGAGTGAAAGTCAACATTTATTTTTACACATTAATTTTGAATAAAGATACCATCAAATCAACCTTATGTTATGAACTTTAATTTTATAATGATCTGAAATGTAGTGATTTTACTTCAAATTATTGCTTTATAATATACCATAATGACAGAAATGGCTAAATGGTAAAAAAAAAAGCTAATTTCATGAGATTATATGTTATCGTGAAAAGGGAGTTCAGAAGTCGAGTTGTCAGAATTGCTGATGTAATCCATAATTAAGAGGTAGTGACCGAGAAGGTGGAATGTAGGTGGAATCTGAAGTGATAGTAAGAGGTGGGATGTGGGGAAAGGGAGGCTGGAGTCAAGATTAGAACAGAGCTGAGTCCCAGGAGCCCCGTATGCTCTAAGACTATGCCAAACATTTCCCTTGTTTAAATACTAATAACTATATTATGAAAGAGGTGCAGGTGGTCGAAGCTCCTAGTTTTCTTCCAACATATACTTTCCTTTCCTTCCTTAGTAACAGAACCCCAATTTTTAGCTGGATCTAGTGCTGTATAGTTAAAAGGCCACATTTCCCTGCTTCCCTTGTAGCTAGGTGTGGCCAGCCATTTAAGTGCTGGCCAATGAAATATACACCGAATTACTGTGGGATTTACAGGAAGGGAGGTTATATGCCTTTCTTTCCTTCTTGCTGCCCAGAACTTAGAGGTGATGACTTGAGCCCCAGCAGCCATTGTGGCTCATGAGATCACAAATCACACCCTGATGATGGCCAAATTATGAGCTAGAAAGATGTGGGCCCTGAATGATTTGGTGGGGGCTTGGGGGGGGGTGGCTTACCAATCCACTGTCCATATTCCTTTTTGCAGAAAAAGAAGTAAAACTTCTGTTGTTATTGTTTTCTATCAGAATCCTCTCCTATCTGTTGTAGGGATTGTTACCTGTATTTTGCAGATGAGGAAATTGAGATGCGGAGATGTTCATCTATTTCACTGAGGTCACCTAGCTAGTAAGGGGGCGACTTTCCCAGGATGCTCTCTAATGTTTGTATCTCTGCTGTACCTCTTGCCCTGCCTTGCCTTGTTCATTCCTTTCAAAAGTATCTCCCTCATTTTATTTCCATCTGTCCCCACCCCTACTTCTTGGGTGTGTGGCCTGCAAACTAGGAATGGTTAATGGGTCAGATGTCCTCAGTTGAATTTCCCATTATATGATTGAATACTTGGACATGAGCATAGAAGGACAGCCACAATCAACAGCAGGGAATACAGTGCCCAGAGCTGTGAGAAAGATGGAGGCCATCACCCTGAGTCCCTTGACCTTGGGCAGGTTGACAAGGTCTTGCTGATTACTCGTATCTGTGCATAGTAGACGCATCAGACTTAGTTGTTGGATGGAACCTAATGTCTCCTGAAAGCAGTCGATTTTCCTGGTTGTTGAAGGAAGGCGAAGAAGGGCAGCCCCATGCACACAGTGATTGACAGGGCGCTCCGAGACCTAGCTTCAGTTATGCAGCCACAAAACCACCATTTGCCTGTGTCGTTCTCTGCTTATTACTGACTCTCTATCAGCCTGATCCCCTCCCACACTTTAATAGGCTTTCTAGGCCAAGTTATTTTCTAGACTCTTTCCGTTTTCAGGGAAATGTGAACTTTGTTTTAAATGCACTGCTTACTGTGGGTGTGAGCTTTTCATACAATTTAAATTACACAAACTTGCCGTCATGCTGAAAACACCTCTCCTAGGTTTTAGTGTTTTCGCGGAGCTCCGGTTTTGTTTTGTTCGTTGGCTTTGGGTGTTTTTCTGCAGCGCTGGAGGTCACGCGGCAGGAGGTACAGAGGGAGCTGGCATTCCTTGCATGTGCCCTGGGGTGCCGTGGGAGGCTGAGGAGTGCCTGGTGGCCGTGTGGCCCGGCTGAGACAGGGTGAGTCCAGCTCCACCCTGCCACCCTTACTCAGTACACAGATCTCCTTGTGTCCGCCTAGGTATCGAACAGCCTGGATCGTACTCACATTTATTTGTGAACCTAATATTTTTATTTTTAAAATATCTTTTATTATTAATCACTTAAATGTTTCATACTTTCATAAGGCTTAAGGTTAACTTAAACCACAGCAAATAACAGTATGATTCCTTCCTAAACTGTCTCCCAGTTATTTAAAGTGTTGTGACATCTTTGAAAACTGCTTCATTTTCCTAAAATTTTTTAAAAGTTTTTGTAGCTTTCCTGGCTTCATCTTATAAGGCCATGTTTAGCACCCTGCTAATATTAAATCTTCATTAACAGTTGAATAAATGAACAGAAATAAATGGAAGTTCAGTCTTATATTTTTGTCTAATGAATTTTCTTTCAGTGCATATGGCCTCCTTCCAGTGATCAAATAAGCTAAGCATACTGTCAGGCCACATTTTCACAGGTGCTTGTCATCAGTTTGGAACAAGAATGAGGAATTTTAAGAGGAATTCCTAACTAATAAGTTGTTGGGGGTTTTTTTGTTTTTTTTTTTAAGATTTTATTTTTTCCTTTTTCTCCCCAAAGCCCCCCAGTACATAGTTGTATATTCTTCGTTGTGAGTCCTTCTAGTTGTGGCATGTGGGACGCTGCCTCAGCGTGGTTTGATGAGCAGTGCCATGTCCGCGCCCAGGATTCGAACCAACGAAACACTGGGCCGCCTGCAGCGGAGCGCGCGAACTTAACCACTCGGCCACGGGGCCAGCCCCTGTTGGGGTTTTTTTTAACTGATAGAAGCAGTATTGACTACAATATCAGAATAACAGAATGAGATAATCTCTAGAACTGATATATGAAGATCACAAGAAAAGCTGTAGGTTTTTTTTTTTTTTGGTCTGAGTTAGAATTCAAGTAATATTTTGACTCTGTATTATATAGAGAAAGTTTATCATTATATTACTCTAGTCCATCGAGCCTTTTGCGTGGGTGATGGATTATTAATCCTGTCATTATTGACTTATCTGTGTGAAACAAAATTGTGGAATACTCTTCATTACCATGTATTTATATAAAATTATTTCTGTGGTCCTTAGGCTTCTGTTTCTTCATGAATTAGACATTTCACATGGATGTGTAGCCCAGTCTCCATCATAGCAAACAGTGACAGCTGGCCTGGCTGCCAGCTGGATTGAACTTGATGGAAATCTGGTTATCAATTTACAGTTACTCTGAAATAGAAAATCATTATTTTTCAGCAGCTTTTTAAACTTTTTTTTGCCTTGTCTTTTTCAGTTTTGAAAAAATAGGTTAGTCTTCCAGGTAATATTTACTACATAGCGTTTATAGAATGTCATCTCTAAATATTTCTTTAGAGGTTTCTCAAAATTGGATACCTAGAGTCACTGTTTTTGAGTAATCTTCAGAAATCCAAAAATTAAGAAAGACAGCAATGTACCAAGAATCATTAGTGGAAGTCAGTATGGCAGGGTTTCTCAACTTCTTTTTCAAAATTTTATTTTAACCTGTCTCCCTTTGATGAAAAAATCTCATATGTCTCTCCTCCCCTCCTGTGTTTCCTCACCCCAAATGGGAGATTCTGACCTATGTCCTGGGGCTAGGTATCTCCTTTTCTCTCTTTCTCTCTCCTCTATTTTGAGAATCACTAACAAAGAACGTTCTGTTGGACATGACTATTTGTTCTCTATAGCATGAAAGCAAAGAAGATATCTTTGCAACTACAAAATTATTTTTCAAAGCACATTTACTTCCCCTGGCCCACTTGTCCCTGACCCTGAAGAAAACAATTCTGATTTGCCCTACCTCCATCACGCATTGCAGTATTTTACAGTGTATGAGAAACAACACTGAACTGAAGTAAATAGACCAGCTCCACTCCTCTTGCCTGCATACTCCACAGCAGGGGTTGGCAAATATTTTCTGTAAAGTATCAGATAGTAAATACTTTTAGCATTGTGGGAAATACAGTCTCTGTCAACAGACACACTACTCAACTGTGCTGTTGCGGTGGGAAAGCAGCCACAGGCAATAAATACGTAAATGAAAGGGTATGGCTGTGTGCCAATAGAACTTTATTCATAGAAGCAGATGGTGAGCCATAGTTTGGCAACCCCTGACCTAGAGCAAGTAAGCCTGCAAGCCTCAATGGCCTTTTCTGTAAAATGAGGAAACAATATACTAGCAATATTCCTATAAAGGTCAATTAAATGACACATAAGAAGTTGTTTTATAAACCATTACGCCCTGTGCCATGGTATTTATAATAATTGTAGATATCAACATCTCATTCATTCTCCCAACAAAGCATTTTTTATTCACTTGTTTTTTGAGCACAGTACACCTGAAGGAAATTTAGCCCTATATTGGGGTTCTGTCACAAACATGCCAGTGTCTGACACATATCCAGGCACACACTGGATGCTGTGGAAGTTCTTGCCTAATGAATAACTAGGCTCTTTCAGTAGAGAATACCTCATCAGGTTGTTTTTCAAGTTTCCCCTTAAATTATATGACAGGAGTTGTTTGAATTTATAAACCTCAGTGGATGTTCTTCACATGTCCCATAACACGTCAGCTTGTAGGGCAAAATTTGACCAGTACGGACAGATGAATAGCCTGGCCTGTTTGGGAGTAAAGGTGCCGCTGTCCCGTTAGAAGTGATTCCATTACTTCTGGCTTTCAGCGCTGTAACCCTTAGAGAAGAGTCCCAGTAGGCCCCCACCCCACCATGGGGCATGCGATTTGATTTTCTGTTGAACACTTGTTTATTCATAGCTCTTTGGCCGCAGGCAGTTGACTTTAATGTGGAGCATGCTTGGAATATGGTCAGAGGTTGGAAGAAAGGGTATTAGGACAAGTGACAGTACTGTAGGGCCAGCAGCAAGTTTGTTTTTGCAACACATACTGCTCAGGAATTTGTTCTGTGTTTGGCCTTCCCATTCCTTTGAGGATTATGGTGCCATGTGCAGAAAACTAACAAACTCCAGGCAGAACCGTCCTGGGAAGAACCAGCAGAGTTGTTTCTCTTGAGGAAGATTTTGGAATCATAGAAGCTCATGGCAGTAGCTGCCAGCTTAGGGAATGTTACCCACGAGGTCGAATGTGGGCAGGACTTGCAGGAACATGTGGCAAACAGCCAGAGAATTCATGGACAGTCTTTAAGATACAGAATTTTACACTTTCAGTAGCACACAAGATGTAAAATGTTTTCATTTTAATTTGGAGGTTGAAGAATGTTTGCTGCTGCTGTTGTTTCCAGAAATTTTGCTAGAATCAGCATCCCTGAATGCATGTGTGGTTGTTTGGGAGCGATGCAGCTCATGAGAGCATAAATCAGGAATAAGATGCACTCACTGCGTTTAGAATATCTGAGCAGGTGGGGTTATGGTTACAGAGGTGCTAGTAACATTGCAAATTTAATCAACTCATTTGATAAGCTGTATGTTTTCCGTAGTCATTTATCCAATCAGAATAAACTAACAAGAGCGAACAAAATTTGGAAAAAGGATTTTCAATTCTCTGAAACAGCAGTCATTAACCCCATGGTAAATGAGAACACTTTGCAATTTAATGAGCCAGATTGCCCTTCTTTTCCTTAAGTTGAATAAGTCAGATGGGCTCTTACTTAAAGTTATATGACACATGGTACATATTCTTAGTTTCCCTTGATGAAACCTAAATGAATTTTTACGTCATTGGTGAGATAGTCTGTTGAGAATATGAAAGATAATTTCGGAAGGTGTCTTTTCTTCTCTAGATATTAACCGGTTACAGAAATTGTTATCCATACCCAAAGCAATTGGAAAAAAAAGCCCTGGGACGATAAGGCACAGAACCAGGTATTTTAGGGCCTTCTTACTGCAAACCTCCCCTTTTAAACTGTGTTTATATAGCCATATATAAGCATATATACTCATATACATATACACAAACACATGACTATGTATGTGTCCATATAGTACACATAATATGATTATATAATAATGTGTGTTTGTTCTTTCAAAAATAATGACAATATGCAAATTATCCAGCTTGGTTCTATTTTAATCCAATCTAGTTATGTTTTCTCCTCCACCAAAATGTAATTCCCTCAAAAGAAATTTTCACTTTTTATTTATTTACTTTTGTTCCCTTTGAGGGAGTTGGTGTCTGGCCAAGGGTATTGTAAACAATGTTGTCTGATCCTTTGGTCACCAGCTTTAGAAATAAAAACAAGTAAGAGAGATTAAAAAAAAAAAGACCCCTTAGAAAAAAATGAATGAATTGTCTTAACTAAGTTAAGGACATTTTATCCTAACCCGTTTCTCCCTCCTCACTCCACTTTTGTGCTCCACAGCTCAGTTTTGTTTTTTCTACATTACATTTTAAACAAATGTTCAGGTGAAACTCAGTGTACAGACTTCTCCACTAAAGATTCCTGTCTGTGGGGTGCTCAGCCATTGCCAGACTTTTTCTCTTTTGTCTATGCTTATCAACTGAAGGATATTTCCAATGACAGATACATCATGTGTGTTTGTTTATTGTTAGAGCTCATTATGTTAATATGTCAGTTCAAGGAGGGATTGAGACTCTTTTGCCTTGAAATAGCATAAGGAATATTGTGTTTGTGCTTCTTCAGTCCTTCCTCAGCATACAGGTCAGCAGAAGCTTCTAGAAGCTTCTCCAATCTGCTCTCTCCATCCCTCTCCTTTGGGCATGGATCTCAGGAGCCACTTTGGAAATAGAAAGATTTCTGGTTGGTCAATTTATTTTTAAGTTTGCTGCATAAAATGCCAATTTCTGGTTCTTATAACAAAAATGGAATGTCCTGTGGTGGTGGATGCTTTGTTCAGTGTCAACAGTAAACTTGGCTTTCCACTTTGATTAGATAACAAATCCCAACGTAATTACACATCTTTGTACAAGTGCACTGTCATCAGTAAAAATTTAGGTACATCTTATGTAAAATAATCTAGTTAAAGCTTTCATTATTTTATTTATTTATTTATTTTTTCCAAGGAAGCTTAGCTCTAAGCTAACATCTGCCAATCCTCCTCTTTTTGCTGAGGAAGCCTGGCCCTGAGCTAACATCTGTGCCCGTCTTCCTCTACTTTATATGTGGGACGCCTACCACAGCATGGCGTGCCAAGTGGTGCCATGTCCACATCCGGGATCTGAACCAGCGAACCCTGGGCCACCCAGAAGTGGAACATGCGCACTTAACTGCTGCGCCACCGGGCTGGCCCCAAGTTAAAGCTTTTAAACAATTGAAGAGTTTCTTGATTCTGTCAAGCTCTTATATGGGTACATGATATGTGTACAAAAATTGATTTGCTTCCAAAACAAATCCCCAATCAAATTAGTCCTCATAAATAGTAATTTAAGAGCATATCCAAGGCCTGGATTGTGTTAGAAGGAAAGAGTGCTGTTGAGAAATCCATGCTCATTCTCTTCACGTGGGAAGTATGTCGTTGACACGTGCTGACAAGGGGTGTTTCTTTCCACAGAAGTGGGTGGATGGAGGCCTCACCAATAGCCTTCCCATCCTGCCTGTAGGCCGGACAGTGACCATCTCACCCTTCAGTGGACGATTGGACATCTCCCCGCAGGACAAAGGGCAGCTGGATCTGTATGTTACTATCGCCAATCAGGATATAATGGTGAGTAATTACGTTCACTGATATTTGAAGTGTCTTAATCTTCTAAAATTTTCTACATGCTTCCAAAACTTTGGAAGCTCATCGATAATTTTATGTACAGGTTGAATCTTCTCAGTGTATGTGTTTTAGTACTTTACAACATATGTCATCATGCATATGGATCTGGGCACCTATAGACTGGGAGTGTGCAATCCTTCTACTATTGATTAACTGTCTATTTGTGAAATGTTTTCTGTTTCTTCATTTCTTTTTCAGGTTAATAAACTGGCAGGATTTCAGTACAATTTTAAATTAGATCATTTATTTGTTTAAAAAGATGGCAATAATTAAGTATGCAGAAATATTGGAGAAAACCTTAGGGACTCAACTGAATAATTTACGTAAAAATATTGGTTCCCTTAATCCAATCTAATAGTTCTCAACAGGAAATTATATTATATGCAGGAGACATTTAGCAATGTCTGGAGACATTTTCGGTTGTCACATCTAGAAGGTGCTACCAGCATCTAGTGGGTGGAGACCATGGATGCTGCTCAGCATCCTACAATGCATGAGACAGCCTCACCGCAAAGTACCTGGCCTAAAATGTTGAAAGTACCAAGGCTGATAAACCCTCATATAGTCTATGGGTGGGGTTAACTTTTTCAGTTTAATTTTTCCTTCTGATTTTTTTATAGCTAATTGTATCTGTGATAAGAAAACTTAGGTTACAGAAATAACATACATTACCTGTACTGTAATATCCTATAGCTTCATTTTGTCTTTCTATCCTAGTTGTCTGTGGCAAATTTGGTGAGGCTTAACCAAGCCCTTTTCCCACCAAGCAAGAGGAAAATGGAATCATTGTATCAACGTGGCTTTGATGATACCATTCAGTTTTTACTTAAAGAAAATTGGTTTGAATAGAATGCTTAAAAGTTTATAAGGCAAAACACATTTCAGACAGTTTTTGGTGGAAGTTTCTAATTAAATCCTTCTTTTAAAAAAAGTATCAGAACTCTGTCAATTTTATTTTTAGTTTTTAATATTTGTAATTGGTTTTAATACTTAGATTATTACTTGGTGCAAGGGAATAAGAGGCATTTTATTAGAATTTGGCAGCATCTTCAAGAAGGATACACTCAGGTGATGAGGAGTCCTTTTCAGAGAACGATCATGTCCTTTGAAAAGCCTGTTTAAACTTTAGCAGGGTAGGCTCTTTGGGTAAACCATAGAATGTTGAAAATGGAGGGCTGCCATGTGTGCATCCTCTCTACAGAGGGTGTGGCAGCACCCTTTTGCCATAAAGCATGGGTGTTTCAGGTGTCCCGTAGTTCTAGAATAGAAGGAACCATGTTCTCAGGCTGATCTGGGCTGAGCACCACTGTCCAGGGTGCTGATGAGAGAGGAAGGATCGGAGAAATAGTCAGCATCACTAAAGGCCTTTGAGAAGGGTGTAGGAACAGAGGTCTGCTTTGCACAGGCGCACACAGTTGCTCCTCGTAAGGAGGTAGAGGGTGGCCAGAAGAGGGTAGACCAGAAGCCCAGGAGATTTTGAAACTAGATATATTTTCCTCATTCTTCAGTAGAAGTTTACCCCTCCCCAGCTTCCTCCCTCCAAACCTCGACCCTCAACTGAAGTGATGATCAGGCTATTTTGATGCTTCCCTGTTCTAAAACCCAGCCTGTCATTCATATTCTCTCTCTCTACGTGTCAGTTTCTCTGTCTCTCTGTTCCTACAAGGCCATACTTCACCAGATGTTCAGCTGTTAGTCTATATACTGGATATATCTGCTCTAGGAACTTAAATAGATAAAATACTGCTAAACACAAAGAACCAAGTCAACCAAGTAGCCTGGTAAATAAGAATCGAATCCAGAATAATCATTCACTTATCATTTTTAAATCATGTTATACCGATCCCAGTTTTTAAGTAGTTGTTCTTTTGCTTTGAGGACTTGTATGTGGGTTTATACTAATTCACATACACTGTGTTAAATCTGTTTTTATGGGGCTTTGCCAAGCATGAACTCTTAATTACTAAGAAGCAGTTAGAAACAAACCAGTTTAATTGCATGTCTTTGTTATACATTTCTCTTTTTACCATTTGAAACCATTCTTTAAATCAATTTTGTGGTTCTTAAAAGCCCCAAGTACACAATTTTTAGCATATAAACACCAACTATTGCCTCGTTTCTTATGAGTTGTGCAGACTTATTGTAGTGATGCTCCTGGGGTATGTGTTTTTTCCTGCTCTAGTAAGCATGTAGTTAAATCTTAATATGTTGTTTTAATAAGTGATGTGAAGTGGATGAATTCTCAATTCATTCTTAGGTCTGTTTATTCACTAGATTTTTCTCCTTACTTTTTATCATTTCATGTGAATATTCTATTCATATGATAGTTCAATAAATTCTTTACTGATGCTTCTTCCAAGCAAAAACAAATCTTAATATATTAGACTTTATGAAAGTATTTTCTATCGACCACATATGTCTTTGACCATGTTGGTGGATGGCACTTTCCTTGTAAAACATTGTAAGGTCACTGACAGATGGGTCTGCAGTGCAGCATCTTTCTACCATGAGAAAATACTGCAATGTAATGAAGCCCATAATTTGAATGCATTTGGCATTTGTTCTCCAGGGGTGCTCTACTCAATTCTTATATGAGGCAAGTCAGAGAACATGCTCTGTGGTGGGTAAAGTGCATCCTCACACACCTAGACTAATGGAAGAGAGGCATGAACAATAGGCTCCGCCATATTGCTGGGATCAGCATTTCGAAGAACTGATATATGGAAAACCTGAAGAGACTTTCTGGCCCAAATACTGATACGTTTACAGGGTAATTACTGTGATTGGCGGCTTGATAAGTTCCCAGTTCCCTGTTGGGGCAATTTCCTGATCTCTTTGAATCTGTCATTTAAAATTTCATTAGTCTTTTTTTTCTTCTTTTCAGTAACGCTCTTTACTTTGTAACTATGGTGACCCACTGCTTCCGTTGACAATTAGAGAAAACAGATTTGGTTCTGAAGTTAAATAATGCTCAAAGGAGCAAGCAGTATATTAAAAAAAAATACCTCTGTTTCATTCTGGATTCACAATATCGGACGTATCGCGTGCGTACCAGAAGCTTGTAAGGAAACAGTCGTACGGCCCTGGGCGTTGAATATGATTTTAAGCAGACATAAGCACTTAAAATGGACAGATTTCAGGTATTCTGATTTTAATTTTTTCTGGTTTTTAAAGCAGATAGATATGATTACTTCTCTTTTTATATTTATAAATATTAGTCATGAAGGTTTTTGGATCCAGTCCGCTAGTTTTACAGTTGAGGAACCGATAATTAGGGAAGCTCAGGGTTTTGAGGTTTTTCTTGTCTAAGCAATGTCTACACTATAGCAAAATAAAATTGAAAGTTGAATTATATAACTTAAAACAGGAGGAAAAGCAATTATTGCAGATCAAGAAAAGTGGACAAATTTTTAAACAATAATACTAATAGTAGTTATTAGTATTACTATCTGCAGACTGACAATTTAGTTGGGCCGAATTCCCCACGTAATTGCTCAGCTCTGCACTTAATTTTGCCTCTGGTGCCACAACTCAAAGCTTCGCTTACTCAAGTTTAATACATATATTTATGTATTCTTCACATATGTCCCCTCAGGATAATTTTTCCTGTTCTTGACTGACTTAAAGAGGGACAAAAATATGGTTCAATTTTTTCCATGTTATAGAAAGCATTTCTAAATATGCAGTCCTGTACAACCCATAATAGCATGTCCAACTTAATCTTGAAATAAGGTGAAGTTACTTTGTTGAAAACATGAATACAGACACACATACTTAAACATACATATGTATGCATGTACACATATAGCTAGGTACAACAGGTCATGGCATGTACATTTTAGCTGTGCAGAGATGAAGCATTCACTTAATGCTCACTTTCATTGTGTTTACAAGTGTTCTTTAAACCATATAGATTCAAATTCACTTTTGTGGGCAGACCAAGTAAAGTGCAAATCGGTATGTATTACCAGCTTCTGGAAAACTGTACAGTTCCAGCCAGTCCAAGAGCATCAGCCCTCTCCTGGTGGGTTCAACAGCTTTGCCATGTGACCTTACAGCTATGGGCAAGCTCAAGGCCCTCCAGATGGGTCACTGGTTCATAGGCTATGATCTGTAGGCCAAGAAGCTTCATGGATTGAGAACTGTGCCCAATCCTGTGCTAGAAGGTTCAGGCCAAATGACATACTCTCCCTTATTTGGCCTTGAGAATGGATTTGAGCCATACAAAGATTCAATAGGACACACATGTAGGTTCCTGCCCTAGTGGAGCTCACCTGAGCAACTAAGCAAACCAAGATGTGGATAATTCAGGCCACACAAGAAGTGTGAAAGAGCCAGAAGGCCAGAGATGCAGGGGACTGCCTCTCCTTTAGTCACAAAGCAAGAAGAGACCATTGAGACGTACTGGTATCCATTGCTAGCCAAGCTCAGAGCTCCACCTTCACCCCCAAAGCCATCACTCACCTGGACCAGAGCGGCCCACAGGCTCACGATGATGCCTGTTCAAATCCAAAAGTTGCTTCGTGAAAGGACAAAATTTGCCAGAGGAGTGATCCATCACTGGACTTACTGACATCAGGGACACTTTGACATAGGGCACATTTCACAGCCCCCCCAAAACTTAGCTCCTGGCAAGGACATGGGACTGGGAAATGAAGCTGTACTGACCAGCCCGAAGCATAAATACCTGACAGTGATTTCACATTCAAGGGAGTTACCAGCATCAATTCCCCTGAAAGAGGGAAGGATCCTTTTCACTTTGCCACTTCACATTGCTCCTTCCACTGGCTGAACAGAATCCTGGTAGTGAATGATGTTATTGTCCATATCAAGGTATCTTAGTCTGTTCAGGCTGCTATCACAAAATACCATAGACTGGGTGGCTTATAAACTACAGAAATTTATTTCTCACAGTTCTGGATGCTGGCAAGTCCAAGATCAAG